AAAAAAAAAAAACATGCTGAAATCAATATTAATGCGATGGCTGATGAGCAACCCCAAAAAAAACGCAACTACTGGACACAATGGGTAAATAATTCGTATGTTGCTTTTAATAAAATAAAATTATATACTGTTTCAAAGAAAAAACTAAACTAGCACAATTACTATGATGAAAAAGCTCTATAACTCAACTAATTCAATAACCAAAACTGACTACTTGAAACTTTTGTTTGTAACGTACATCTAAACTCTAATTAAAAATAGCAACTTGTATAACCACTTCAGTTATACAGTTATGAATCCTCGCTGAGTAATTTCCATCTATTATAATTCAATAAAAAGTAAAAAAAAAAAAGATTCTACTGATGACTTTAGTCGTAATTGTAAAAAAAAGATGTAAAAAAAGCAATTTACTATCATCCTCTTCATCGCTACTGTCTGAATCTGTTAAATCACCACCAATCAGCTTTTTCAAACCAGTTTCGTCACCAACGGCCACCATAGCCTCATCGACCTTTTGCTCCATTGGTACCGCATCTCGGCTAGAAGAATTTACAATAAGCAATAAGCAAACAACGTTTAAAACGTAGAATTGCAATCATGGGAGTCTGCACAGAGAATTAATTTAATTTTCAATTTTCAAGCCTATGTAAAAAACACCCCAAAAACAAACATCTGAGAAATGATGCAACAACATAGAACTATTGCTTCTATTGCAAGCGGCAACTTATTGAGGACGCAAACAAGCCAAAGAAAGAACCAAAAAAACTCAAATTGATTGGGAACAAAATGCACCGTGTTAACATACAGATGTTTTGAAAGCATATGACAAACAGAGAGGTACAGGCAGTTAGAGAAACAAAAATACCACTGCGTTTCCCGCAGGTCGCTAAAATTGAAAAAAAATTTTTTTAAGCCAGAGGAATTGGAAGAAAGAATAAATAATAAAATTGCAAACAAAAAATAAATAAATAAATAAATGAAAACAGAAAATAAACAATTAAACCTTCTAAACCGTAGACTTGTCACCAAACTAAAAGCACTTCCTAACTACTTTTAGTCGCCAAAAATGAAAATTTTCGCTGCCAAACCAGCGCAAGCAGCCCTATAATCACTTTCACAGTCAACAAGGTAACAGCGCGCAATTTCGACCTCCGAGCCTCGCAAACTGCATCAGTGGCGCTCGAGCAATACACCCGCCATGCTGCTCCAAGTTCCAATTAATTCCTCAAAACAAATGTTACCCCAACTTGCCCATACTAATAAGTTACACGCATTTTTCGTCCACTTGTATCTGGATAAACGCTTAAAACTAAACTTCCAGAAAACCAAATTCTCTCGCTGTATTAAGCACATCTACAGCCATAATAATTTCATAATTCACCTACAGTTCCACTGCCTTATTAAAAATCCCAAATATTCTAAATTTACCTCGCAGAATCATCAGTAACTTTTAAAGGCTTTGCCCGCAAAGCATTCTAGATCGCTTCTTCATGATTTTCTTTAAAGGTCCATTACGACCACTCAAGTTTTTTAAGCTCAACTCGCTGACATGGGACCTCGAGCGGGAATGCAACAAGGGAAACTGCAAAATATTATCTGGACTGTTCGACACGGCCAAAGGATAGACAATATCGATCCAAATTGGCGCAAAACCGCTCCTAGAGGTGCATGGGATGACCCAACTCTAAGGTAAAAATAAATCTAAACTGTTACGTGGAAATTGTTATCTACTACATTACCAGTTCAAAAAGTTTTCATACAATACATATTCAGTGAACGTGGTCTCCAGCAGGCCAAAGAATGCGGAAACTACCTAGCATCGCAACGAATTGATGCTCTTCTATGTTCACCATTTACTCGTTGTGTGCAAACTGCAACTACAATATCTTCTCTGCATCAAAAAAAGCTACCGATTTTAATTGAACCTGGAATATGTGAAACATTGCATGTATGTCAAGACCCACCCGGACATCTACCATTAAAGGAGCTGAAGTAACATTAATTTAGTCCTTAATTTGCAAAAAATTTGAAATGTAAATTAGAAGTCTCTTCCAGCAGTTTTTTTTTTTTTTTCAGAAAACAGTATCCTCTTGTAGACCTTTCTCATGAGCCAATTGTCACAGAACTGGGGAAAGAAAAAAATGAAATCGATTGCAAAGATCGTCTTTCAAAAGTTCTGGAAGAATGTCAACGGCGCTACTCAGGTTACATTTTCGCATTATATGCAGATAATGTCTTCAAAGAGGAAAATATGTCTTTAGATCACCAGTACGACCGCAAAAACAAAAACAACCTGACACAAATGTTAACTTTGCAGGGAATATAGTATTAGTAAGTCACGGCGCCCCAATAGCTATGATTCATGAAATTCTAACTGGAGAATGGCATTACGTGGGCCAATGCACAATCAGCAAATTCATTCCGGACTCAGAAGGAAAATACAACGCAGTAATGAGTGGTAGCTCCGAACATCTTTCTGATAAAACCGATCTTCGTGATAGAGAAATACAAAGACCGCACTTGTGAAAATGAACTCATATTTTATAAACGCTCATACGCTCATAACAGCAAGTATTTTGCAGAATAATGTCACCGCCAAATAAACCAATGCCTTGTCGACCATTAATAAAATGGAATAAAAATTGTCTCAGAAACGCAAATAAACCTTTCTGTTCAAAAAAAAAATCAAGAACGAAATAACAAAAGATCAAACGGTATTCAATTAATGACCATCGCTTAACTGGTTCAAATATTCGCAGAATTCACTCCCCTAGAAAAACAAATTTATCCGGAAAAAAGGAAACTTACTCGGAGTCTGAACCGCTGTCTGTAATATAATCAAATTCTCGTCCTTCGTCATCTCCGTCATCACTTTCGTAAGCCATTACTTCATCTGCATTTTCCACTCTTTGCCTTTTATCCTTTCTCGGTCTATCATTTTTCTTCTTTTTCGCTTTCTACATAAAAATGTTGAAGAGCATATTAAAAAATATTTTGAAATACTAAAATATTTGTGAAATTAGTAATAGAAAAACTCTAAAAAATTAAAATTTAGGAACGACAAATTTAATGTTTTTTCTTTCACACTGCACAAAAATCATACTGGCTTTAGAGTTTTTTCAAAACTGGAGTCCTTCTCTTCCTCAGATTCATCGTCGTCTGAGCTTTCACCATCCTTTATTTTCTGAAAGTAAAAAAGCGGGAGAGATCAGATGCCACTTTACTCTAAGTATCATTCATAGTTTCGCAAGGAAATAAAAATTATTTCTGCACCGAGATTACACAAATAATTGGAGCATAAGAAAGGTTCGCAGATTAATTTACTATGAAAAGCACCAAGGACACTCATCTCTCTTCCGCTTCACTTTCCGCTGTACCGCAAACATAAATAGTGTGTTTGAAAAAGGCATATCCAAAGATAATAAACGAAAAACTACAACAAATTACCAGGTTTCCTGACCCTTTAACCATCTTCTCGCCGTCTTCGTCCAGTCCAGCCAACTGTTGCTGAATCTGTGCCTTCAATGCGAACTGGTTCATGACCTTATCGCGCCTGTTGAAAAATCCAGTTTTTTTGGCTGTCTATTTAGAATACATTTAGAGAGACCGTTATATCAAACGTGAGCGAGGCAAAATAACGGGGCATATAAATTTACATATAAATGTACTAAGAAAACTTCTAAAGCATACTGTAAATATCTTTCTTCTGCTTGGTCGATGTCCAGCGTTTTATATGGTATGAAGTGTAAAAACTGATACCAGTCATCAACTTTGTAAGCATGAAATTCTTCACCCGACTTCAAAAAAACCCAAAAATCTGCATGTTCCCCGGTACCTCCCTCACGTATACTTCGGTACTTCTTTTCTTTTCCACCTGAAAAGGACTTGGCGAATATATAACACAGGCTTTGCTCATGTTTTTTTAGCGAAAAATTATGAGACTTGCTTGAATCAACGATGTTCAGCAACCAAGGCTGATTATCGTGACGATACGAACGTGAAATACGACCGTACTTCTTTCGTCGAGCTTCCTCTCTAGCAGCTTTCCCATATTCCGATCCTTCCCCGTAATCCTAAGCAAACAAGCCCTGATTTAAAACAAGTGATGACTGCTATTCGCGAAAAAATAAGCTTTTCACTTAAAAAACAATCTGAACAAAGAATTTCATAAAAAGCGCCGTTTTACGAAAGAAAGATACCTGTTTAATTTCAGTCGCTACTATTTCTTTCCTATTATCTTCTCGATGCAAACGAACGGAGTAATCTGCACTTGCCCATTTCCCAGTATCAATTTGCATCGAACTATTAAACTTCAACACGGAATACCTTTTGTGGCTGCTTCGCCTAATAAATTAACCATATAGAATTAAACTTTAATTCTTTTGCACGTAAATGTATGTAACATTAAGCTATCATAATTTAAAACTTTAACATACAAACAACTTCTTTTCCTTTTTTTTTTTCAAATCTAATTAACATTACATACTTTGGTACACGAACTACAAATTCTGAATGCTTCGACATCTACCTGAAAGCAAATACGAAATCAGTTCCAATGCTCTACAACCAAGCAGCATTTTAAAACAACAGCAGGTTATACCCACGAATATTTTTCTTAACTTTGAAGTCGGTATTTCAAGCAAACCACGTTCGAAGAACGGCCGTGAGATTAAAAAGTGGAAAAAATAGAAGAACTATAGGTTTGAGCACAGTTTACCGAAATATTAGCAACAAGCATTCATTGCCCGATAAACTCGGCCAATCCTGCTCAAATAAAGTCTAAAGTTCAAATCAACAAATCTCACTGCTGTTTCCGAACAAACTCATAAAAAATCATTAAGGTCGACAAAGTTGTCAGTATTTAGTAACATACAGAGGCGAACGAGAGAACTTCCCGCTAGAAACTTCTTTTATAGAATCTACGCCATCGAATGGTGTGAATATGCACAATGTAATACCAATGTACAATATAAAACAATATACACACATTTGGCAAATTTCCAAAAGCTACGAAATTCAAATCGGATTTCTGCGAAGGCGACAAGAGCTCTGTCCCATGTAATCAGCTGTTTGTGACTGGCATGATTTACTCGTCATGTTTTCATGGTTCCCACACCTACATCAGCAGCTGTCGTTCTTTATGCTTGCATTTACTCCGCGTAATTTTGTTTAAAAACTTTTCTCGACCAAAACAATAGTCTACGAGAATGTTCACTTGATCGATTATTGCCGGCACCGTTTCTTTAAATTATGCACATTACTACACGCAAATTCCAGTGACAAGTGTTAAGATAACAGTAGTTTAGCCGCAGCAGTGCACTTCTGTTATTGGTGTATTGCGTTCTAGATTCTTTAAAACATTTTTAATTCAGAGGTGCTAAAAGCAGATCAAAACTGAATATAACCAATAGCTCCAAACTGGGCAGCTAGGAGAGTGAACTTTCTGACTCCTGGATACCTTACAACAATAGCCAAACAAGCTGCTTGACCGGGTCGGTTTTTCCAGATTTCGGATTAACTCTTCTACTTTTTTGCGCACTCCAAGTAATTCCGTCCAAAGCTTTGAAAGCTTTTTGCTTTCACATAAGCCTCATTTCTTTTAAAGTCAAGTAGCCGCTGTTCCCGCCATTATTCATAGCTCCGCAGCTGAGTTTTTTTGTTGCGTGGAAATATCTTATTGCTACATACACGTAGAAGACCACCAGCTTCTTTTTATTTTAAATCATATATCTTCATTTAACAGAAGAACAGACTTGCTGTTTTCATCAAATGTTTCCATGCATCATTTGAGACAACCAAATTTGAAGAAGAAGCCGAAAACTTGATAACACTACAGGATCGTAATAGAGCTCTTACAACGCAGAGCTTTAGGAACTCTATTTCAGCTGAAGTTTTTAGACGGTATCAAAATAAATACAGTCAAAACTGGATTTCACAAAGTCCTTTAAATTTACACTCGATTTTTTGAATGAAGAGTTGAAGATGAAGCGCGCCAGCATTGACGTCACACGGAAATTGTCTGAGTAAACTTGTAAGGGTTCTTTGTCGATTATCTTATAAAGCGCAGATAAAAGAAACTTCCTGCCGCACGCATGCACTGTCTCAGCATTTTTCAATTCCCTGTTTTAACCGATGCAGTGTAATAACAGTCACCAAGTTTTATGGCCATTCCATTTTATAGAACGATTTTTGCATTAATCAGTCCGTAAAATTCAATTATTCACTGTGTCTACAAATAAGCTGATTTGCTGTTTAGTTATATCAACAACAAGATATGACCTTTTCCCTCTTCACTGTTCAGCTTAATTATGGTCTCTTATTAAATTTAATATTCAAAAAATCATAAAAATGAACAAAAATCCTCTTGGGTTGAGTCCATGTTTTGCTGATTTATATTTGAAATCAAAGTGTCAAATGGATGTTATTACTTCTTGAGAAACCAGAACCATGTTCCGCCTTTCTGGGAGTTATACTCTTTCGCTCTTGACTTAATCATCTGCACAACTTCATCCTCATCTCGGTTCTGTCCTGTAATTAGAGAAGAACATGTATGTATTCTTTAAAGCAATCGTTCAAATGTAATGGCTACATTTATAAAATATTAGCTGAGATTCTCAACAGTGGTTAGGCTTTTCACTTCAGCATCGAAAAAAAAGTAGCACGAAGCGAATTTGGCTTACCGTAATAGTCCGCGAAATTTCCATCAGGATCCATCAAATACACCATTATAGAATGATCCACGATGTAATCATTTGGAGCCCCACGACTGGGCTGTCCTGCTTTGTAGTAAACTCGGAATGTTTTGGCAACTTTTGCAATCTGGAAACTTAGCATTCGCTTGAGAATACATATTCAGATTTTTAGTCGTGCAAATTGATTTTCTTATACTCAATATAATGCATATACATTTGAAACCAGAGTAAAAAACCTTTTCTAGACTACTGTCTATAAAATGTGGCTGGAAATTGCAACTGCGGGACAACTGAGTTACCTGTTCTGGACTGCCTGTATATCCCCTCAGTTTTGGTGAAAATTCCGCACAGTATTCCTCGACGCGTTTTGGAGTGTCCCGTTGTGGATCAACGGATATAAACACTGGTATGATGGGTATTTTTGTTCCTCTACTCTCTTCTAATTTATCAATAATCTGCAAAACTTTGGATCTTGTTCCTGCTTGACGTGGCAGATGAAGTTGAAAGGTAAGCAAACAGGGCAATGATATGTATGAAAACTTTGGTAACTGTGGTCATAACAGTTATGATGTAACTTACCCTCGTCATTTTTTCTAATTCGTCTGGACAGATGTCAGGACAGTGTGTGAAACCAAAATACATCAGCAACCAATTTCCTTTAAGATCTGCAGAGCCTTCAAGTTTCCCTTCTGTATTAACTAGTTCCCACTCTCCTCCGATCAGAGGGCGCCCAACCGAGACTTCTTTATGACCAACGGGCGTTTTATGCTGGAACAAATATCTTAAATACCTCACGCTGGCTTTAAACCACGAAGGTCCCCTAACTACAAAGAA